AATAGTATTTTTACTATGTTGAATTATAAATCGGAAAAATAAAATGAGATTCTCTGATTTTAACTTTGAAACCCCTAATATAAAATTTTAGATTTGCGCATTAATTTTATTCATTAATGTCGTTTTGATTGCATGAATTTCAAGCAAAGAACAAAGAAGTCCCAAATAGAAAAACAAATTAACAATTTTGACATTGATTTCATAATGCACATTCACATTTTTTTTGTGCATAGTAAATTATTTTTTGACAACTGCAGGCTTTAGTATTGAAATTAGTTTTTTGACAATGGCAACTGTTTTTTTGATTTGTTTTACTTAAACTGGTTGCTTCTTGATGAAAAAGAGTATTCATTTCATCATTAGGTCTTTGATATCACTAATTTTTTTTAAAAAAAATCAATTTTGTAGCAAATTAAATTTATTTAAGTTTAATAATTTACTATTTGACTTGAAGATTGTAATAAAGAGTTTTGCTTAAATCCAGCTTGCCATAATGAAATTATGGATACTAATTATCAAAGATTTCAAACTTGCATGCAACCTAATAACAATCACAGTCAGGTTTTTTGAAGAATTTTGCGACAATGATTTTTACTGCATCTTTAACTTGTCAATATTAGGTATGCAAATTTACCAGGTTTAAATATTTTATTTTATATTTCTTTGCATCTTATTTTGATGTATTTATAATTTTTTTAATATTTAGAATTGCGATTCTATAAACATTTTCATAATTTTCAAATGTGGGTTAAATTAAATATTATTTAATAGGTAATTATTGATAAAAAAATTTTAGTATAAATTTTTTTCAAAGTGTTTTAAAAATTTTCTTTGTATTAATAATTTTATTAATATTAATAATTTATTAATATGCTTTATTAGACTTATTTTCTTTAAATTCAATAGAATGTTTCACTATTTTTTTCTTGCACTATATAGCATTGATTAGAATTAAAATCAGAAAGACCCTTAACTAAACTGATAGTATGTATTTTGAAAGTAAGGTAACCCAATACTTAAAACTTGAATTATGTAGCAGGTTAGAATTATTTAATACATTCAAATACTTATTATAATCATTTTTATCTATTAAGCAATGTTTATTTTTCTTTAATTAATAAAAGTTTGCTCAAAAGTCTCATGACTCAAAAACTGAACCTTTGTAGGTTTAAAATTAATTTGTGATCCACCAGGAAACTAGTGAAAAACATAATATACTATAGAGAAATTTACTATTGTTTTTTGATAAATCAATTTTTTACTAAACAAACCTCCACTTAACTTCTAACAAAAGTTGTAGAGGAGGGAATTCTGAGCATAATAGCTTAAAGTTAAAATCAGCCTAGTGGAACATGAGATATGTGCATTCTTGTCTTTATGACTATATGTTTACTTATTTGTGTAAAGAAGTAAACATATAATCATAGATGCAAAAATCCACTAGGCCGATTTTAACATTTTAACTATCATTATGCTTGGAATTCTTTTCTCTACAACTTTTGTTAGAAGTTGAAGAGGTTTGCTTAGTAAAAGCTTGATTTATTCTTCGGGAACTCCAAATTCCAAAAAAGACAAAATTTACATAGTAAACATATTCCCAAAGTTTACTATGTTTTTTATTTTTTACTGGAGGATCTCAAATTTCCGGGTCAGAATAGCCGGAATGCATTGGGGTTAGGGTTGGTTATACTGGTTAGCAAAATTATCTGCTAGGCATTTTTTATTTAATGAACGACCATGGTTTCATTAGTAAAATTCTTAGTGATCTTGGCAAAATCGATCAATTCCGGCCCATCCGACTAGGGTTATGATGCATTCCGACCCGGAATTTTGGGATCTCCCTGTATGAGTTTTGTTTTTTTCACTGGTATCATTAATTAAATAATATAGATGAAATTCAATAAAATAATATAGATGAAATTCAATAGAATAATGTATAAAAATTTAATAAAAAGAATATAGAAGAAATAATTCAAATAATTATCTTAACCAACTTGATATTTTTGTAAAACCAAACAAATAAATGCGTAATATATTCTACAGTAATATACTTTCATATACTTTTATCGACAAAATACGTAAAATTATATTATGCAGTTTTCTTTATATTGATAAATTTAGTCTAATATAAAATACAGCATGATTGACCTGAGTTGTTTTTCAATCGGTGGAGATTAAATAATACCACTTGTCAATTCATAATCAACAAATTCCGAAAATGACCTGTAACATCAGCAAGAAAATTAGTCAAATTTTATAAATATTAATCCGAAATAGTACTGGGATCCCATCCTATAAAAAGACAATTAGTTAATGACAAATATTAGGTTTTTATAAAATATTATCACTTGGCCAACCCATCAGTGTAACTTTTTCATGTACTTATTTCTAATAGTCATATATCTATTTAATTTAGGTGATTGAGTTTTGATTTATTTGACGCTTTTCGTCTATTCCTTTATTGCCGTTACATTCTTTCTATTTACTGTATTATTTATTTTACCTATCAATATTTAACGTCAAAGACAATGAGTAAGTAAAAGTCTCGCTTTAAAATAAGTACATGAAAGTTAAGTTACATGGATGTTAGGGAATAAATAAGTTATATCCTGGGTAGTTAGGTATAAGCAAAACTTTGCTGATAAAGTATAACTGACAGCTATTTACGCTGCCGATACATATTTTATCAGTAAATTTTTGCTTATACCTCCAGAATATAATTACCTATTATATACAAATGTATTTTAATATACCACATGCAATAAAATACTCGTCTAAACCATCAAGAATTTTCATATCTTCATCTTCGATCATAAAATCATACACTTTGGTATTTTCAATTATATGCATTTTGTTCATACTTTTTGGCAATGGTACAAAATTGTTTTTCAATTATATGCATTTTGTTCATACTTTTTGGCAATGGTACAAAATTGTTTTGAAGGCTCTATTAATGAAATAAGTTTAAATTAATACTTATTAATATAGCATTTCTATATATTAAACATTTCACTATCTTTATCATGAATGAATGAAGTTAATTTGTAATAATATCCGCTTGTACAGTACGGATCGGATATTGATCAATATCCGTGATCTTGATTTAGTGATCGGGCATTAAATATACTAACTCACCGAATTAAAATTTGAGCGGCAGTTTTATTATATTTTTCAGCAATTCCAACAAGAGTACGGTCATTCGATTTTTTTCCCCTGGTAAGTGGAGAAAAGGCTTCAACAATAATCTTATGTTCAGTGCAATATGATACAATTTCTTTTCGAGTATTCCAAGGATGAACCTAAATAGAACCTTCTTAATAATATTATAAGAAACATGTTATAAAAAATTAATTTACCTCAATCTGATTAACTGCAGGCATAATTTCAGGATTAGTATCCATCAACTCCTTTAGATGTTTTACACCGTAATTCGAGACCCCAATACTTCTAACTTTTCCTAGCTTGACTAACTCTTGTAAGGCCCTATAAGCTTCGGCACGTTTTTGAGGACAAGGCCTAGGGGAATGTATTAAAAGTAAGTCGACATAAGAGATTCGAAGGTTTGATAGGGAAGTTTCTGCAGCTTTGAGAGTTGATTCATAACCTTGATCTGTGTTTATATATAAAATTTTTATGATAAGAAATAGCTTATTTATCCGGTTAAATTGTATTGACCCTACAAAATCATTGCTGTGAAAGCGGAAACTGCTCCGGTATCACAAAATAGGTCACGCGATATCAATCGGCACTAAAACTAATCTAAAACAACACACTAAACACTATCTAATCTAAAACCTAATAGTGGCAGGCTACGATTGAGGCGTGGTGAGATTTGGTCCGAGTAATTAGGTGTTAGATTAGAGCTCTATATTACGTAACGAGGTCTATACAACGTCTGCCACCGTGGATGATTGGGTACAAACACTTAACACTTTTCGTATCTCGTACCTGTGTCCCAGATTTTTGTAGTTATAAAAATTTGATCACGCGGTATTCCACTAAGGAGATAAAATAAATAGTTTAGTAAACGTGTTTATGAGGACATTTCGACAGCAAATTTTACCTTCTGATAATGCCAATTCCAATATTTTCTTCGTTGCCATAATGTGATGCAGTGTCAACATGTCCATATCCGGACTATATATATATAAATTATTTTATATTCGAGAGATGACTAGTAAAGCTTATTACCTCTAGAGCCCATAAAATGACATTTTGTGCTGTTTCACCTTGAGGAGCTTGGTATTATCACCCGTTCCGCCCATTCCTATGGCTTTCATTTTAAAACAAACCATTAATTTAATTATATATTTATTGAGAAAATAAATCAAAATGCTTAAATGATAGACCTAGCAATGGAATTTTATAACCATTATTCATTGTTGATGTCGAGAATAAGGAAAGATTTGAAGTCATCATGAAAATTGAGACGAAAGATTTGAAATTGTTGGTAAAAATATACAGTATATATGCTTTTGCACTCTGTAATACAATGTTCTGCTGGTAGTACATAGTAGGTTAGTGATGCCCAAACTTTTCGTGTAATCTGATCTTCCGAATTTTACTAGCTAACATACTAAGTAAAATTGCTCAGATTGGATTCTGCTATCACATAGTTATTGCCTAGTCCAAAAAACTCTGGTTACACGAAAAGGCGAAAATTTTTGGACATCGCTAACTTACGTACTAGCGAAGCCGTCATTTGATCATGTGCTAGTTATGTTAAAAAATGATTCCAAATAAGAAAAATTAAATAAGTATATATGTACGCGATTTATAAATTATATATTTGCACTTATAATTTTTGCTCTTTTTTATATTTGTAGTACGGATATGATAGATTTATGATACTAAAGATAACTAGATCGCATGATTAATTATACCATATTGCTAAAATAATCCTTCGGGATTATAGTAGTTCCAAAGAGTTCTTTTGTTGGCAAATATCCCATATGTAATAATAATTAACGACGATATTGATAGATAATATGTATATATCGTAGAGAATTTCTATTTGTACACATAGTGTATATACACGGGTATAAAAAAACCAACTATTATTTCAAAATTTTGATTA